CTTGTTTCAATTTTGAATGGAATTATTGCTTGCCTACTATGGTGTGGATTTTAATTTCCTGTTTGGAGCAACCCATTATGCATATTCTATTCCTGGAAAAAAATAATACATTTCTAGTTTAGAAAGGAATTATACATCTTCCTTTGATATTTTTAAAAAGTATTAGACTTGTTGAGGTACTCTTGTAGCATAACATTTACTCTATTAAAGCATACCTAGAATTCAGTGATTTTTCGTATATTAGAGTTATGCATCACTATCACCAGCTAATTTCAGAATGTCTTCATCATCCCCCAAAGAAACCCTGTATCCGTTATCAGTCGCTCCCTATTTTGCCTTTCCACTAATACCTGGTAACCACAAATTATCTTTCTGTTTTTATGGATTTGCCTATTTTTGACATTTCATATAAATGAATCTTAAATATGTGTTTTATTTTGTGACCAGCTTAATTCTCTTATCATATTTTCAAGGATCCTTTTGTTGTATGTCTCAATACTTCCTTCTTTTTTATTGCTGAATAATATGCCAGTATATGGATATACCACATATGTTTCACCATTCACGTATTGATAGACATTGGTGTTGTTTCCACTTTTTGACTATTATCAATAATGCTATCATGAATATTTGTGTACAAGCTTTTATGTGGACATATGTTTTCACTTCCCTCATATATATATACCTAGAAGTAGAATTGCTGGATCATATCGTAATTTTATATATAAAATGCTGAAGACCTGCCACGCTGTTTCCTAAAGTGGCTCTTCCACTAAAAAATCTTACTAGCGATCTATGAGAGTTCAGTTTATCCACATTTTTGCCGAAGCTTGTTATTTTCCATTTCCTGATTTTAGTTATCCTAGTGTGTGTGGGGTGTTAGCTCATTGCTATTTTGATTTGAGTTCCCTAATCACAGTTTTGTTGAACATCTCTTCTTGAGCTTGTTGGCCATTTACTTGGTTTCTTTGGAGAAATGTCTGTTCAAATCCTTTGCCCATTTTTTAAATTGGATTACTTGTCTTTTTATTGTTGAGTTATAAGAGTTTTTTTATATATTCTGGATACAAGTCTCTGATCAGAAAAATGATTTGCGAACATTTTCTGCCATTCTCTCTGTTAATTTTTGTGCAACAATTGTTAGGACTTGATAGTATATTTGGAGTGACCTTTTTCTAGATGAACTTCACATAACCTAGGGGAATAATGGCAAATGCTTTTACTGAGAACCTGCCTGATGCCAGACACTAGGTTAACTTCTTTGTGCCATTACCATGTACAATTTGTACATGTACATTAAGAGGTTGATATCATCCCATTATTCAAGGGAAAGGGAACTGAAACTCAGAATTAATTTGCTCTAAGTGACCAATCTAAAAAGTGGCAGAATCTGCAAATGAACCCAATTTCTTCCTGCTTTCTAAGTCTACTTATTTCCCCTGTAATAGTTCTTTGAGTAAGATAAGTGAACAATCAATATTCTATTCATCTATAGTATGATTTGTGTATTATAAAATGCATTTTATTTCTGTTTTCTACCAAAAATCTTATAAATAACAGTGTATCAAATGTCTTAAATCATGTCCATTTGATACAATTCCTTCTTGTCTTAGTGTCCTTCCCTTTCTCCCTCTTTCCTGCTTTACTCTTTCTTTTCTTCTTCTCCCTCCTGCCCTCTTTCCTTTACAAGAATTTATTTAGTGCTTACTGTGTACATAGTGCCTAGAGAAAGTGATCAATAAAGCACCCTCGGTGTTTGTTCTCTAGTAGGAGAGACAAACTACTACAAATAAATAGATAGGGATAAACTTCAAATATGATGTGAAATAATAAATACCAGAGCTGACGAGAGCTATGAAGAAGATAAGAGCGAACGAACGGACAGAGGGTTTGTTATTTTAGATGGAGTCATTGGGGAAGACCTGGATGAAGTGGGAAGGAAGACACATGACTATCCAGGGGAGAGTGCAGAAGGCACAGGAAGAAACATGTTTGTTGTGACTGATGACTAGGAAGGAGACCAGTGTGGCTCAGTCTCCTCTGTTTGGTCAGCGAGCAGGTGAAAGCTAGTTTTTGCATGGGCATACATTTTTTTTAACATGTAGCAATTTGTTGGTACTTACTGGGGATGGAGAGAAGAAGGATCAGGTTAGTATTACATTTGTACTTAAAAAAATGATGAGTGAAAGGAGGATTGCCATGGTGATGCTTATAATCACCATATCCTTCTAAGAATCTTGTTTTTTAGGAGTCTTTGGCAGTTTGGGAGATTGTCTGTTCTGTCAGTGCAGATATTTAATCTTTCATCACTTTCCAATATTGTATCAATATTTTGGGTCATAACATTTGTTACATCAGTTACTTGACTCCTCAGTATCAGTATTGAGCTGTCATCATGATTTTTATTGTATTTCATCAGTCTCGATGTAGCTTCTTCTTTATACCCTTAGTTGTAGGACTTCTGTTCAGCTAGATTTCAGGCAATTTTGAATGATAGTTGTTCTGAGGTTTAGTTTAATGTTGATGTGGTTGTGGGAGTTTGTGAGTGCTGCATTTCCTATACCACCATCTTTTTTTCTTTTTCCTAGAGAGTGGGGAAGGGAGGGAGAACGAGAGAGAGAGAGAAACATTGATGTGAGAAAGATTGGTTGGTTGCTTCTTGTACATGCCAAGACTGGGGATGGAACCTGCAACCTAGGCATGGGCCCTGACAGGAATCGAACCAGTGACTTTTTGTTTTGTGGCATGATGCCCTATCCAACTGAGCCATACCAGTCAGGGCCCTATACTGCCATCTTGACTGGAACGTCTGCATGAGCATAATTTTACTCAGGGAAAGCTCTTGTTCTTAAAATACATCTAAGATAATTTAAACATATCTCTAAATGAATGGGGTAGATGGTATTCACCATCCAGTGCTGGTGCTATTTCCCTATCCTCTCTATTATGCCTGTGAGGAAATTATTTGTTCAGAGGCACTAAAGTGCACAGTGGTTAGGAGCTTGGGCCAGGGGGTTTGAGTGCCATCTATTAGTTACGTAACTATCTTATTCAATTCTAAAATGGGTAAATTAGTTTGCGAGGGCTGCAGCAACCAATACCACAGATTTAAACAACAGAGATATATTTCCTTACAATTTTGGAGGCTAGAAATCTAAGGTTAAGGTGTTGTCAGGGTTGTTTTTTTTCTGAAGGCCTCTTTCTCTTGCTTGTATATGGTTATTTTTCTCCCTACTTCTCCCCTCTATATGCATCTTTGTCCTAATCTCCTCTTATAAGGACACTGGTCTAGGTCAACCCAAATGATCTCATTTTATCTTAATTACCTCTTTAAATACTGTATTTACAAATAGTCTTATTCTGAGATAATGAGAATTAGGACTTCAACATATATTTTTTTGGTGGGGGACACAATGTGGTCCATAACAACAGAGAAAATAATAGTATCTACTATCTAGAGTGGTTTTGAGAATTAATTGAAATCACATAAGGAAAGGTTTGAAGCAGCTCCTTGCACACAGTCAGTGCTATTGAAGCATGCCATATAAACCACCATTCCTCTTCTTCTAACTGGATCCTGAATTCTACCTTCGGCCATGAAACTAGCAATAACTGAGTGTCCATTTGCAGCCATAGAGCGCTTTTTTTTTTCCTAGAGAGATTTTGGAGGTTCCATTCACATAAAGTTTCAACAACTACCTTGTTTTTGACACATGCCAATCTTGTACTCTGGTAAACCTAGAAGACTTCAGTTTTCAAAGTTGTTCGGCAACAGCTAGCACGTGTGATTTCCTTTCTGAAATTCAGAGTTGAGCCAGAGGGAAGCCCCTTTTGTACATGAGTCTAATATAGGGTTTCTGAGTTTATTATGCTCCAGTAGGAATAGTGAGGCTTATTTTCTACTATGTTTCTGAAATCCTCGGCTCTTCCATCACGATGCAGCAAAAGCTTAGAGCAACCTGCCTGGCAGCAAAGAGCCAGCTATAATCACACTAAAGACAGAGTTTCACAACACATTTCCTAAAATTTTTTCTTAAGAAGTAAAGTAAAAGCTGATAAAAAAATTGAGTTAAGGTCAGAAACAGGTATTAAAAAGACATTTAAAACAAGTTGAGGGATTAGGCCAACATAGAGAGCAGTCTTAGCTGACTCTGAAAGCCATTTTTACTTTTTATTGCCTTCCACATATCTGGATTGCTGTGGGGGAAAAAAGAACAAAACCAAACCAGGGATAGTTAATTACCAGCTGGCTACATAATTAATTTTCTTTAAGGCATGTGATAGTTTCTAAGGAATTCTGAAAACATCGTTCCATTGGAAAAATGAATTTCATCTATTATGTCATAACTTTGTCCCCAGTAGAAAAGCCAGAAGAACAAAATCAGTTTTTGTGGAAAGAAACATGACTCTTATTTCATGGTGTTTCTAAACATCATTTGACAAATTTTTATGGAACAAAATATTCAACACCCCTTGAATATATGTGTTGTGTCTGAATAGTTTTAATTAGTTATCCTTTGCTCTTTCCTTTGAATTGGTTTAAAAATTTTTGAGCAATAAAATAATGCATAAATGCCTGGACTCTCAGGACAAACATTGGCATTTGGAAGAATGACTGGATGATTCATATTTGCTGTATGTCTATCACATTTGTCCTTTTGAAGGTGATTTATTAGGTCTTTATTCTGGAGTGTATTTTTTTTTCTGCTCCAAAGGCTATGAATGAATTCTTTGATGTTGTTCTTTGTCATGCACAACTTACTTTGTTCAGGGAACCTTACCTGTTGGAATATTTTTCTATTGAAGAATTTGCTTTTATGTCTAGTGACATTTATCATTATCTAAGGCCAGCTGCCTGACTTCTCTTCAGTGCTCTGTTTGTGGGGTTTGAACATCTATAAATGGAAACACTAGCTAACCAGAAATTATCGCCAGGGCTTTCTGATAGTGTCCTGGGCTTTCACAACTTGGAATGTCCTGTAATATCTAACATGTAAGCACGTCAGATCATTTTCTAGACAGAATCTGAATCTCTCTTTTTCTGTTCCTCTCTCTCCCTCTCTTTCAACATGGAATTTGAAAAACATGAAAAAGGAAGCTTATTAAATGAGAATTTAGAGGAGAAACTGACGGTAAGATTTGTGAGATTTAGTATATACAGATTTATAACATAATTGTCAGGGTGAAAAAGCAGTTGTCACGGATCAGAAAATTGTATTAGCCAGTCTATATTTTCGTGTTTCTCTGGTCAGCAACCTTGAATTTAAGAATTCCATGGGCTTTACTAAAAATAATGTAATAGTTATTAAAAAATTGTCATTACTAGAATGTGGACAAATTCGATTTGGTTACCTTCATTTTAAAAACCAGAATCAATTTACTTCAAGCCCTGTTTTGATTGACTCAATACTGAAAACTTATTTTATTTATTGCTATAAAGTTTAGCAAATGTTCAAGGTCTAATTTCTCTTGGAGATACTAGGAATATATGTCAAGGAAAATATAGAAGTATTATAGAATATTTTAATGTTTTATGGAATAAGTTAATGAACTTTTAATGTAAGGATAAAATTTATAGAAAAATTTTTTTCACTATAAAATTTTTAAAAGTAACTTTACCTTGATGCTAAAATATTAAACGTCAATGAACTATAGTGGTCACCTATATTTGCTCAAACAGAAATATACTATAATGTTGAGGAGAATCATGGTTCACCTCATAGGTATAAGAGGCTAATTATGTTTGTAAATTTATCATGTCTACAGAGTTCATGTTAGAAAAGGGCATGGCCAATTTTAATGGTAGTGCAAGTAGCAAAAAGTGAAACCACATCGACTATAAAACCATGGTTTCTTAAACGCATGAGAATGCATTGTTCTGAATGTCTGAAGTTCAGATTTATGCACTATTAATGATCATAATACTTGGATTATGAAAAAAAACATATTGGATTTAATCTCCTAAAGTGTATTAGAATTTCAAACTCTTAAAGAAATATATCGGATGAAATATAACCTTTCCTTAAAGGATTTAGGTCACACTTTTGAATATCAGTTGTGGAACTCGGTTCTGTGCGGTTGTCTAAATGCGTGATGGCCACACACATTTGCTTTTTGACTGTTTCTAAAAGCCATGTGTTATTGCAGAACTAACAGAGGTTTTATCTCAGAAAGGTCTGAGTGAGAATTCTTATTTCACACTTCTAAATGTAGGACTAGGGGGTTTTGTTTAAGCTTTCCAAGTCTTAGTTAATGTATTTGTGAGACAAGGAACAGTAATTCCTAATTTGAAGGCTGTCATAAGTATTAAAAATTTTAATGTATGTGAAATCCCTAGGCTGAAGCTGTGATTTGCAAACTGTTTTTGGCCTGACTCGCTTTGAAAGTACATGCCCAAAGCTTATTAATATAGAAAGAGAAAGCTTAAATACATTGCAAAGTGAAAGAAAAATTCAGATACATGCTAACCATAAAGATTTGCTTAGTGGTAATAAAACCTTTATGGAACCAGAGAGAGAGAGAGAGAGAGTAAATAAATACAAGAATCAAGAGTTGCTGTGTATTAGTGTGAAATGACCCAGATCTCCCTGGCAATCTTTTACAGGAAGTTTTGCAAATAAATATAGTGGACATGGGGCAAGTGAACAAAACTGAAAATGATCATTTATTATTTGAAGTGATTTGATGTATAAACATTTGACTTTCTGGAAGGGCAGGTTTTCTGTATGTCTGACTCTATCTTGAACAAAACTATCAATCTAGAGGTGAGAACCGAGAAAGTAGTACAAAATTTATGAACATTATTTTGAGGGAGAGGCTGAAGGCTAGTCTCTGATTAACTTCCAGAAGGTTGGAGGAAATATGGGGCAGATCAGAAGGCGTGAGAGCATCCAATCTGCCCTGGGAAGAGACAGTTCTCAGGGAGGGAGAGAACATCTCAAAGTTCAGTATTTGGGGCAAATAGAACTAGGTTCATAATTCAAATACCTTTCAGGTATAGGAATTCTGATGACATGGTTAGCTTATGTTCAGTGTCTCTACTTAAGAGAACTGGAAAATATATATCTTAGAAGGTTTTCAATAGAATTTATTTTAGTTAAACACTTTGGCTCTTTATATGAATAAACATTCTAAAAGTTCAACTCATTGAGCATTTTATTCCTTGCTAATACCAATGTAACATAGTATGACTGACTAGATTGCTGAATATAGTTTAAAATATATTTTTGTAGAGTTCAGTAAGTTCTGAAAATTATTATATTTATTCATTATAGTTTAGTTATAAAAAAATATTTTTAAAGGGTAGAATGTTTTGCCATTAAAGTATTTAAACATGCATATGTTATAGTATCATTGAGTAACAATACACATCTGATTTAAAATTAAAGGTGTACTTAAAAAAATCTTTATCATGAACAATGTTATGGTATTTATATATAATATAATTAAGCAATATGCATAGCTGGTTTTATTTGAAAAAAATTTAAGGTAAGATTTATAGCAAGTAAGAAAACCAAAGTTGGTAGATTTAAAAAAAATTATCAGTTTATTCTACCCAGAGATATAAACAAAAATAAAGTAGGTTTCTTTACTATATATCCAATATGAATCATGCCTTGCATTGGTGAGTGAATTGCTACCTTTAGCTATTGATGTTTTTGCCCTGGATTTGTTGCTCTTTGGTGAATAAAAGTAGATTTCTGGGTGCTTGACAATTGAAGGTGCTACTTTTACATCTAATCAGAAAAAATGTGTGATTTTTAAATCCTTCAAAATGTCCCAAATTTACCAATGCTAATCTAAATTTCTTACACATTGGTGGATATCACCCCACTTTTTCAAACATGAAAAAGAAAAATCAATTAGCATGGACTTAGAAGGACATTTTTACCCCTTGAAAAATCAGCATATTAAACCATGTTGAAAATATAGTCACGCCCGATTCCAAAAAATCAGATTATACTAAAAGTAATTTTTGTGGAGCATGGAGAGAGGGAGGGGGCTATTTTGTAACAATACAGTTCAGTTTTGTGGATTCCACAATAATTGGTGTTGGTGCTAAATGGATATTTTGTTTTTCCTGGTCAGGCTTTAATAACACTTATATCATGTTTTTCCCAAAATATGTTCCTTGGAACTCTGATCTTCCAAACTGCTCCACAAAAAGACGTTCTGGTCTGTTCTCAAGGACATTCATGAAACTTTGTGTAGGAAACCCACTATACAGTATATTGCCCTTTGGAGACTCATACTGTATTTTAAATACTGAAGGCTATGATATACTCTGGAGATTAATCTAGTGTTTGTTAAACTCCTTACCAATATAGTGCATTATAATGTGTGTATGCAATGATGGTGAATATTTTAAGTAGTATTCTCTGGAATAAACATCCTAAATGTTTGTGTCAACATATTAATTGTCTATGTTTTTACTGGTGAGTTGCAGTTTCAGAATAATGATACATACAACAATAAATTCAAGCTGGGATTGTATTTATAACATGAAGGTATTTTTGGAGTAATTTTAAAAAGAAGTACCTTTCTATTTAGTATGTTTTAATAAATAAGTAAAATTAAGTCAAGGAATCCTGACTACTCTCCAAACACTTTTTCTTTTAGATTAAATGCGTCAACAGAGAATTTCACTTACATTTATCCTTAACTGAAATTTCTTAATGAAAAAGAACAATTCATATATTAATATGAGTAAAAATGATCGTGTACCTCAGGATATTCTGATGTAATAGTGGTTTCTTTAAGAGATAATAAGACAAACAGATCTCATACATAAATCTAATAATTTCTATCACATTTGTGTATGTCTCAAGGGACAATTCTATCTTCCCAAGTAATAATGTCCAATAAATATCACAAATATAATGGCAACACGGGGATGTCATCCAACTGATTTTATTTTGAGGTTTGGTATACACAAATCAACACAGTAGACAATTTCTGAATGTCATAAATATCACTTTATTGAGTAAAAGTAGCTATCTGAGCTTGAGAAAGAAATTATGTCATCTGAATGTTTTTTATTTTAAACAGGATATATTTCATAGTAGAAGCTGAAAACATTTTAAATAATGGAATTTTTACTTTTTACATTTAAAATATTTTAAATTTATTTTGAATTTAATGGTGGAAGATGTTCAATGATATGTAAATTTACTTATGAGCTCACAAAAAATCTCAAGATCATGCCATTTCATTTTTAATACTATAATGAAAGAGAAAGAAACTGAAGAAAATACTGTGGACAAAATGTAAAAATACAGAAAACTATGCATTTTAAAATTCTGTGATAATTCAGTGAAGGGTAGCTCTATACATAAGGTTAAGTTGGTTATTAATTCATAGTTTAATTAGTAATTAAATAAAATTAATTATTTACTATGAAGAGATCTGTTGCAAACAAAAAACATGGGACTAGCACTTTGGTTATAATACCTGTGTTATTATCTCATGACAAGTTGAGTTTGCTGGAGAGCATCTTCAGAGATGCAACCTAGTGTCTACTAGATAGAAATGTCCTCAGAAGAAACAAAATGAGTCTTTCAAATCAAAACACATTTCGGAATGCCTATTTTGAACAAGACAGGGTACTAAGAGCTGCAGTGGAAACACACATGATAAAATCTTGGCCATCAAGAAGATTATTATGTTTTGGTTATATTTAAGTAGATTATGAAATACTAATGGTAAATTTTAGTAGCTTGGGAATATTCTAAGTGGACAAAATAAAAACATCCCAGATTTGTTTTTCTCACATGGATTTGCAACAGCAAGTCTATAGTCATCAGAATGTCTTAACAAAAGGGACAATTGTAAAGCATTTTATGCAGTAACATTTTATTTCATCATAATGTTTGGTGTTGGAGGAGGTCATCGAGAGGACATGACCACTGGTTCACTCATGAGTTGGACCCTGGGCAGTCAGAGGCTCCCCGCTAACTGCCGTCCATGGAATGTACATATGGCCTTCTGTTCCCACAGCGGGAGCTGTGTTCAAAGACACAGCCGTGGGAGCTATTGTTGAGAGCATCTGGGTGGCTTAGGGGACTGAACGCAGTTAAAACTTCTGTATAAACTTGAAGATTCTGGTGGGGAGGTGCAGAAATCTCCTCTTGCT